TAAAAAAAAAAAGATAACATATGTATGTGATAGTACAAATCTGATGATGTCTGCCTATACTTGTACAGAAATTGTGTACCTAAACCCATGCAAATTTTCCTATGAAGAATTTTATTGTTATAAAAAAAAAAAAGCAAAAAAAAAAGTTTATTGAATAAGGATGAAAACAAAAAAAAAAAAAAAAAAAAAGCAAGCCCCTTCTGGAAGTGAGTTCCCTAACTGGTAAGTCCCACCCCCTCTGAGTTGCAAACACCTCCCACATGATGCTTAGCTCCCAGTGGCCCTGTCCATAGTTCTAGACTGGGAGCCCTCAGCCAGCTCCAGTCCAGCCATCTGGTTTTTTTCTCTTCTGTTCTGCTCATCTTCTATGGTACCTGTGGGCATCCTGGGGAGGCCATGCCTGGAGGAGGGACACATATGGTGGGAGGACCTAGCCCAGGAGGTCCCTGGTAACCTGGAGATCCATGCATCTGCCCAACACTAGCAGGTGCGAGAAAGAACTTGGGATGAGGCATCAGTATATCCTGGCTTCTGCCAAACAGTACCCACCCTGTGCCTCAGTTTTCTCTCTGGTAAAATGAGGAGGTAGACAGAGGGAGTTCTCTAAGCAGCCAGGGAAGATCCTGTGGGGATGAGTGAAGCAGGGGTTTCTAGGATGGTTTTGGGGATCCCTAGATGAAAAGCTGCCTGGGCTTTAATTCATTTCTTCACTAACTGAGCATCCATTATGTGAAGGCAGGGCCTGAGGCATAGGAGGTACTCCAGGGAGCAAAATGGAAAAAGATCCTGCTGCTCAGGTGCTTATTTAGTTTGTTTGTGCAAGGTGTTGCTTTGTAGTTCAGACTGGGCTTGAATTTTCTATGTAGCCAGGCTGGCCTCCAACTCAGTGATTTTCCTGCCTCAGCCTCCTAGGTGCTGAAGTTACAGGCATGTGCCACCATGCCCTGGCCTCAGTTGATCTGTTTGTAACTATGACATTTCAGAGGCCTCTGAGCCTCTCTTCACCAGGGCTACGAACCTGACAGGCAGTCTTGCCAAGCTGAGTATGAGAGATTCAGGACTTGCAAGCCAGAAGTTGTATTCTACCTCCACTTCTTCCCCTTGCAGGGTGACCTCCCCTCTCTAAGTTCCTCTCTGTTCCTCCCTCTCTGAAACAGACTCAGTGTTTGTGCCTTGCCCCAAACTCACATGTTCAAGCACCAACCCTCAGTGCTCAGTATGATGGCGTTGGGCAGTGGGGTGAATCTTCAGGAGATAAGTTGATAGGTTTGGGCCCTAGTGTGAATTACTAAAATCATTGTGGTGGTCATCTAATATGGCTAATGCCCTTAGAACAAAGGCCCATGCTCCCCGGAACACCTCCCCTTCTTCTCCAACTTAGCCCCAGAAATAATTTACTTTTACCCTTCCTCGCCTCAGGGAAGACCCCCAATCAGCTCCCTCAGGTGTATCAAAACATCCCCTCCAAACTCCACCCCTAGCAAGAGGCCATAAAAGCCTCAGCCTTCCTTTGTCCAGTCCAGAGAATTCCTTGACCTCCCCCAATTCTCTCCGTGTCCTCAAAGAGAATAAAGCCCCTTTTCGCTTTTCCTTCTGCCTGTTTATCTGCTGTGCCATTCACCTGAAAAATACCTATCATAGGTAAGCTTAGATGAGGACATCAGAGACTCCTGATGAGATTCATGTCCTTTGAAGACAAAAAGTAGGCCGGGTGTGATGGTGCACACCTATAACCCCAGCATTGGGGTCAGGGAGATAGCTCAGTAGAATAAGCACTTGCCTGGCAAGTGTAAGGGCCTGAGTTCAATCCCCGGTTCCGCAAAACAAAACAAAACAAAACCCAGCACAGGGCAGGCTGAGGCAGGAGGACTACCATAATTTCAAGGTCAGAAAAGTCTGCATAATGAATTCAAGGTCAGCCTGAATTACTTAGTAAGATCACTATGTAGAGTATATAAAGAACTCCAAAAAATCAGACCTCCCCAAATTTAAAGACCCAACCCAAAAATGAGCATCTGAAATGAACAGACACCTCTCAGATGAAGAAATAGAAATGACAAATAAATATAAGAAAAATGTTCAACGTCACTTATAATTTAAGAAATGTAAATTCAAACAATGCTATGAATTCCTTTTCACTCCAGAAAAAAAAAAAATCAGCCAATAAGGAATGCTGGAGGGGCTGTGGGGAAAAAGGAGCCCTTCTCCATTGGTGGAAATGTAGGCTGGTGCAACCACTGTGGAAATCGGCGTGGAGATTTCTGAAGGAAAACTACAACTGGGGACATGATTATATGTCATAGTAACAAGGGCTGGGGACATAACGTAGCAGCACAGCACCAGCCTGGCAAGTGCAGGGTCTTGACTTCAATTCCCAGTACTCCCCCCAAAATAATCCTACAACTAGAGGATCCATTTGACCCACCTATTCCTCTTCTTGCTATCTTCCAGAAAGAATTAAAAGCATTACACCACAGCAATATATGCACACCCATGTTTACTGTAGCACAATTTATTTATTTATTTATTTATTTTTGGCAGAACCAGGGATTGAACTCAGGCCCTTGCCCTTGCCAGGAAAGTGCTTATTCTACTGAGCCATCTCCCCGGCCCCTTTTTTTTTTTTGGAGAACATATTCTTTTTTTTTTCTTTTAATTTATTTATTTATGTGTGTGTGTGTGTGTGTGTGTGTGTGTGTGTGTGTGTGTGGCCAGCTCAGCCCACCAGGGGGCGGGGCTGGCTGGCATGTGGTGCTGGGGGATTGAACCACGGTCCCTGTGGTTTGCTAAGCGTGTTCTAAGTAGGTGCTTTAGACCACTGAGCCATCTCACCTGCCCAAAGCAGGACATTGTTTCCAGTTTAAGACCAGTCTGGGTTACAAGATGAGCTTAAGGCCAGCTTGAACTGCATAGCCAGACCCTGTCTCAAAAAAGACCAATAAATAAATAACTGATAAACAAATTTTTTTTCATTTATGTATTTGATTTGGTACAGGGTTTCACTACACATCTTGGACTCGTAATGATCCTCCTATTTTCGTAATGATCCTCCCTCCAGGGCTGGGATTACAGGCGTGCACCACCACGCCTGGGCTTGGTTGCCGGCTCAGTGCACCCAGAGCTGGGGAAATAGATGGCTGTTGTTGAAGCCACACAGCCTGAGCTGACCAGGACACCAGAGGTCAGGCTGGATATCCCCTTCTGCAGGAAGCTTCCTAGTTAATCATTCCTCATCCATTCACCCCTCCCTCCCTGCCACTCCCTTACTCCACAGTCTCCTCAGGGAGATCAAGCCATAAACGCTATCTCCTTTGCTTTCCTTCAGGGCTTTGGCCTCTGCAAGGGGCCACACCTGCTGACTGTGTGCCTTCTACCTGGAGCCAGGAACTGGGCCTAGGAGTCTAGGTTGGGGCTGGGGGCTGGATCGCACTTGGGTCGTTGCCTCCTGCCCAGAATGTTTTGGGGGGTTACATCATGCACATACCTCTGCCAGATTGCTCCCTGTGGGGCCTGAGGACTGGCTTAATGAGCCCCTCAGGCACCTGCCATGGGTGAGACATCCCAGTCTTCTTGATGTTCAGGAAACAAAAATAATTCCCATAAATAGGGGCAGCCTCCCTTGATAGGTGTCCCACATCAGCCTTTACCCCAAACCCTTCTAAAGTGAGAGGCAGGGACTCCCAATTCTGCCCCTTCAGCCATATCTAATGTTTCTGCAGCTCAACCCTAGAATCTAGACTATCACTCCACATCTTGGGATGTTAGACTGCACCTGGGTGAGTAGTACTTTACAACATCCAAAAACCTTTCCACTCATCTCAGTCTTTCCCTTCTTAAAAATAATTCTGTAAAATAGGGCCTATCAAATAGCTCAGCAAACTAAAGAGCCTGCTTAGGCAGAGTGCAGTGGCTGGGGTTCAATCCCCGTGTGACATGCTGGCCCTGCCCCCTGGGGCACACTGAGATGGTGATTGAGACTGGAGGTGGTGGTGTACCTGTAATCCCAGAGCTTGGGAAGCTGAAAACAGGAGAATTATTATGAGTCCAAGATGTGTAGTGAGATCCTGTAGACCCTGCAGACCCTGTTCCAAATTCAAAATAATAATAATAATAATTATTATTATTCTGTAAAATAAGCCTGATTTTTTTTAAAGCCCGATTTCATTGTCATCCCCAGTGTACATATGTGAACACTGAAGTTGTGGGGGATAAGTGCAGTGAGCGGACTTGTGACTCTGAGTCCAGGCTGCTACTTCTGAAACCCAGGCTAGTTTAGGTCTTGGGTCAAGGAGGGAAGAAGATTCCAACATTGCTACCTGTACTCAGGGCAGACATCAGTAATCAATCCTTGCATGGCAGACATTGCTAACCACTTGTAGCGTCCTTTTCTGGTAAACTCAGAGGTCCCTGAATACAACACTTAGGCACTCTCCTGGCAGAAAACCATATGTATCTGCAGTATTTATCATTCTTGTGACCCCACATCATTAGCTTTGAGCCTTTAATGTGCTCTCATTGTCAGACCATAGTGCCCTACACACTGCATGCTGATTCTTTTTTTTTTTTTTTTTCTTTTTGTGGAACCTGGGATTGAACTCAGGCCCTTGCGCTTGCCAGGGAAGCGCTTATTCCACTGAGCCATCTCCCCGGCCCTTGCATGCTGATTCTGATGGGAGCTACCAGCTCTTCCATTCCCCCAACAGATGTCCCATCAGAACCTATTCTTCCTCAGAGACAATAACCTGCAGTTTTCTAGGAGTGTCACCACAGAGCACAGGGGCTCTCCCAGGACCCATGTGAACTCCGGGACTCCACTGGCTTTTCCCTTTGACTTCCTCCCTCCCCAGACTACTCCCCCTGCACCTGGCCTTTGTCTTCCCTCCTCTCACGTTTCCACAGTCCTGCTTCCACAGAAGGGGCCTAACCGGAAGGCTAGTTCATGTTAGGAAGTTCCACCCACATGAGCCACCCTGAGCCAGGGATTCTGAGCAGCCGGTGGCTTTAGGAGAAACTGAAACTGGGCTTGCTGGGGGCGGAGTGGTCACTGGAGTTTAAAGAGCCACCACTTCCTTGGGCCCCCAGAGGGCACTGGGAGGTCACAGCTGCCAAGGGACATTTGGAATCAGTGTGACTCTCTGCTCCCCCTGCTTGAGCCATGCACCTCTGCCAGGGAGACGAACTGCTGATTGGGACAGTGAGTACAGGGCCTGGGACGGGGATGAGAAGGGGAATGTGGCCAGGCGTGGTGACACACTTATGGTTCTGGGGCAGGAGGATTATAAATTCAGTTCAAGGCCAGAATAGGCAGCTTAGTGAGACCCTGTCTCAAAACTTTGAAAAAGTGTGTATTATGTGGGGGAGGATATAGCTCAATGTAAATCCCTGGGTCCAGTCCTTAGTATAGCAAAAGAAAAAAAGTGTGGGGGGCTATGCCCAAGGGTCCCAGGGTCAGAAGTGGGAGATGCAGTCCAGGGCTCTGATCCCAGCTCTGTGCCAGTGGCTGTGTGTCTTTAGGCAGGCTCCACACACCCCCTCTTTGGGTCTCAGTTCCTCCTCTGGAATATTAGGGACTGGATGAGGCTTTTGGCTCTCAGGCTGCAGATTCAGCCTGAAGTTTAGGACTTGTGCTCTGCCCACCTGCTCTCCCCTGACACTTCTCTCCCCTTCCCCGACCCCCCCCCTACTTTTCCTTTGAGGCCTTCTCAGTATCTCAGGGGTCCCTCCCCAGTCTCCAGACTCCCAGCCCCCCAGGGCTGCAATACACCGGCTGTGGCCATGAACTCCTCAAGTTTCTGGCCAGGGTGGAGCTGCAGTTTTGGTCCCAGCAGCATCCACAGTCCTCAGCCAGGGGGCAGCATCCTCTCTGGGATCCTTATACTCAACATCCCCTGCCAAGAGTAACAGGGGTGTGATCTGTGAGCTCTTCACCAGTCCCCTTTGCCCTGAATTTCCAGAGCTTTGGGCATTTGGATTAAATCATTCACCAAAAGCCAGTCATGGTGGGGCATGCCTGTAATCCCAGCATTTGTGAGGCTGAGGCAGGAGGATCAATATGAGTTTGAGATCAGCCTAGGCTAAAAGTGGGCTCAAGGCTAGCCTATGCATAGCAAAACCCTGTAAAAAAAAAAAAAAAAAAAAAAAAAAAAAAAAAAAAAAAAAAAAAAAAAAAAAAACAAAACAAAACAACAACAACAACAACAACAACAACAAAAAAAAAAAACCACCAAAAACCAAAAATATATATTCCCCCCACTAAGTTCTGTGGTCCCCTGAACTGGGAGAGGTCACAGCTTAGGGTCCATTGCTTGTTAGGAAAGACTTCCCATTCCTTCCTTGTGGACTACTGGGCACTGCTGTGCAAGCAGTATGAGGCTGGGGCTTCTGCCTGTTTGTTCGCTGCTAAGTCCTCCCTAGTATACAGTAGGTGCATAATAAATGTTTGTTACATAGTTAAATGCTAGCTTTGGGCCTGAGCTGGGCTCAGGTATATGGAACTGAATCAAGGAGCTCTTCATCAGGTAAATCAGCAACACCGTGAAGGTGACCGAGAAGCGACAGCAGTGGGAAGGACAGTGCTGCCCTTCACTGAACCTGGCTCAGGACAACCTGCTGCCTGGGATTCCCTCTTGAGGCCGGAGGGGGAAGGACCACGGTGCCTCCATTGCACAGAAGCAGCAGCTGGGCCCAGAGAAGTAAGTAGCCCAGAGAAGTAGCTTGGGCAAGTGTTCAGTCTGAAGTCAGTTCTGTCTGGGTCCGAAATCCCACTGGCCCTCGCCCCCACAGGAGCAGTGAGGACACTGGGTGACGCTGGCATCACGTGTGCAGTGGCTGCAGGGGCAGGAGCACGGCACCGGGGAGCCAGAGGGGCTTCTGGGAGGACGGAGGACTTGGCTCTCCACGCTGCTCTCTGGGGCGCAAGCCCAGCTGCGAGCCCTGAGCCCCGCCCATGCTCAGCAGGACCCCCAGGAGCGCCAGAAGCAGCTGAAGAAGAAGCAGAAGAACCGGGTGGCCGCTCAGCGCAGCCGGCAGAAGCACACGGATAGGGCGGATGCCCTGCACCAGGTGGGGACGCCCCCCTTAGCCCATTTCCTGCCGCTATACCTGAATACCACACACCGGGTGATGCATCGAGAACAGCGGTTTATTTAGCCGAGGAGCCCGAGAGCGCGGCGCCCGCATCTGCCCAGAAGCCCCAGTCCCCGGGCAGAGTAGGGTCGCACCGAGGCGTCACAGGAGCTGCAGTGAGCGGGCGGATGGAGCGCCCCCTGCCGCCCGCAGCGCGCAAGCAGCCAGTGAGCTGGCCAGTTGCTTGTTAGCAGGGACTTCACTGCACAGTCCCCGCGTCGCTCCTCTTCCTCACCGAGGGCCGCGAGGTCAGGGAGCTATTCCATCCTCTGCCATTTCCCCAACACCTCGAGCAGCGTCTGGCAAAGAGACAATGGTAGTATAAAATGCCCTGGGCACATTGAGGTAGAAGGGGCCACATTCATCTGCTCAGGCTGCCCTACAAAAGACAGTAGATGGGGCCGGGGAGAAAGCTCAGTAGAATAAGCACGGCTTGAGTTCAATCCCCAGTTCTCAAAAAAAAAAAAAAAAAAAAAAGACACTAGGTAGGCATAAAGGACATTTATTTCTCAAATTCCGGAGACTGGGATGTTCAAGGTCAAGGTGTTCTTGACCTTGAGAGCTGTCTTCCTGGCTTATACAGTAGGTGACTGCCTTCTTTCTGGGTTCTCGTAACATTCCTTCTGCGGTGAGGAATCCCTTTTTCCTCTCCCTCTGTAAGACAGACTCTCCCTATGTAGTTTAGGCTGGCCCCTCACAGCAATTCTCCTGCCTCAGCCTCCTGAGTGCTGCTGGGATTACAGGCATACACCATCATGCCTGGGTCCTCTTTTTCTAGTGTTGGGGATCAAACTCAGGGCCTCCTCTTCCTCCCCTTAGTGGAGAGTCTACCATTGAGTCACTTTATCTCTCTCTCTCTTTTTTTTTTTTCCTTCCTGTATTTAGGACAGGGTCTACAGGGTCTCACTACATAGATTGGACTCATAGTGCCTCTCCTGTTTTCAGCCCCCCAAGTGCTGGGATTACTGGCATGCGCCAACATACCCAATCTCAATTGATGTCTCAGCGTGCCCTGCAGGCTGGGCCAGCATGGAATGCCAGGAATTAAACCCCGGCTGCTGCGCTCTGCCTAAGCAAGTGCTTTATTTATTTATTTTTTTGTGGAACCGAGGATTGAACTCAGGCTCTTATGCTTGCCAGGGAAGCACTTATCCCACCGAGCCACCTCCCTGGCCCCTAAGCAAGTGCTTTAATCTATAGAGCTATGAGGCCGGCCCTCACCTTATCTCTTTTGATATCAGATTAGTGCTCTGCCCTTGCCACTTCATCTAAAATTGCCTCCTAGGGGCCGGGGAGATGGCTCAGTAGGATAAGCACTTGACTGGCAAACGCAAGGATCTGAGTTCAATCCCCAGTTCCGCAAAAAAAAAAAATAAATAAATAAATAAAAATAAAATTG